CCCGGGCAATAGGGGATCATGGGGCCCCGTGTCCTTGTCCAAACTCAAAAAAGCCTATGAAAAAGGTACCAGGGGCATCTCATGGGGCCCCCTACTGACCCCGGGCCCTTGGGCAGTGCCCGAGTTTCCAAATGGTCAGTCCGCCCCTGCTTGTACCTAAAGGGGGGTGCAGAGAACAACTGTCCCTGGGCCCATGAGATTAGGGGGTCCCACCAGGATGGCTCCTCCCCTTTATTCGCTAGCTCAAATGACATTATTCCACCAGTCCTTACATATTGTGGCTGAATTCGTTTTTTTGGGGCTTTTTTTCATCCTCCCAGCAACATGCCTCCTGTCATCACTAGGGGGACAACATTCGCTCACTGTACTCTATGGAGCAGCAGCATTGTCAGTCTAGGACAGGACTACAGAACACCTTCCCCTCTCCCTGGGACTTCCGTCAGCTTGTATGGCTGGTGAACCAAGACCAGCTTTTGTGTGATTGTCTCCCTACCCATCCTGGAAGTCTGCACAGAGCTGGAACCACAATAAGAAGCATCCCCTGAAATGTTTTCCATGATGAGACCCAGATGAAGGGGAACTAGTGAGCTCCAGATGAAGGGGGACTAGTGAGCTCCAGATGAAGGGGGGGGACTGGTGAGCTCCAGATGAAGGGGGGGGACTGGTGAGCTCCAGATGAAGGGAAACTAGTGAGCTCCAGATGAAGGGGGGAACTAGTGAGCTCCAGATGAAGGGGGACTGGTGAGACCCTGATGAAGGGGGGACTGGTGAGACTCCAGATGAAGGGGGGGACTGGTGAGATTGATGAAGGGGGACTGGTGAGCTCCAGATGAAGGGGGGACTGGTGAGCCCTGATGAAGGGGGGACTGGTGAGCCCAGATGAAGGGGGGACTGGTGAGCTCCTGATGAAGGGGGGACTGGTGAGACTGGTCCAGATGAAGGGGGGACTGGTGAGCTCCAGATGAAGGGGGGACTGGTGAGCTCCTGATGAAGGGGGGACTGGTTAGAGCTCCTGATGAAGGGGGGACTGGTGAGCTCCTGATGAAGGGGGGACTGGTGAGCTCCTGATGAAGGGGGGACTGGTGAGCTCCAGATGAAGGGGGGACTGGTGAGCTCCAGGTGAAAGGGGGACTGGTGAGCTCCAGATGAAGGGGGGACTGGTGAGCTCCTGGATGAAGGGGGGGGACTGGTGAGCTCCTGGTGAAAGGGGGACTGGTGAGCTCCTGATGAAGGGGGGACTGGTGAGCTCCAGGTGAAGGGGGGACTGGTGAGCTCCTGATGAAAGGGGGACTGGTGAGCTCCTGATGAAGGGGGGACTGGTGAGCTCCTGGTGAAGGGGGGACTGGTGAGCTCCTGATGAAGGGGGGACTGGTGAGCTCCTGATGAAAGGGGGACTGGTGAGCTCCAGATGAAGGGGGGACTGGTGAGCTCCTGATGAAAGGGGGACTGGTGAGCTCCAGATGAAGGGGGACTGGTGAGCTCCTGATGAAAGGGGGACTGGTGAGCTCCTGATGAAGGGGGACTGGTGAGCTCCTGATGAAAGGGGGACTGGTGAGCTCCTGATGAGATGAAGGGGGACTGGTGAGCTCCTGATGAAGGGGGACTGGTGAGCTCCAGATGAAGGGGGACTGGTGAGCTCCTGATGAAGGGGGGGACTGGTGAGCTCCTGATGAAGGGGGACTGGTGAGCTCCAGATGAAGGGGGGGACCGGTGAGCTCCTGATGAAGGGGGACTGGTGAGCTCCTGATGAAGGGGGGACTGGTGAGCTCCTGATGAAGGGGGGACTGGTGAGCTCCTGATGAAGGGGGACTGGTGAGCTCCAGATGAAAGGGGGACTGGTGAGCTCCTGATGAAGGGGGACTGGTGAGCTCCTGATGAAGGGGGGACTGGTGAGCTCCTGATGAAGGGGGGACTGGTGAGCTCCTGATGAAGGTTGGAAATGGGGCTGGAGGTTGGCAAATGCATCCACATCTACGGATCGGAGACCCTCCGACCCCCCCCCCCCCACCATACAATCCGCCCTGCAAACAGGGGCACTGGTGACCGACCATCACACCCCCCTGCACGGGACCATCACACCCCCTGAGCACCGACCATCAACCCCCCTGCACGGCACCGTTGGCTTCCCACCCCCCTGCACGGCACCTGACCATCACACACCCCCCTGCACGGCACCGACCATCACACCCCCCTGCACGGCACCGACCACCCCCCCTTCACCACCCCCCTGCACGGCACCGACCATCACACCCCCCTGCACGGCACCGACCATCACACCCCCCCTGCACGGCACCGACCATCACACCCCCCTGCACGGCACCGACCACTTCCCACCCCCCTGCATGGCACCGACCATCACACCCCCCTGCACGGCACCGACCATCACACCCCCCCCTGCACGGCACCCGACCATCACACCCCCCTGCACGGCACCGACCACTTCCCCCAATACCCCCCCTGCATGGCACCGACCATCACACCCCCTGCACGGCACCGACCATCACACCCCCCTGCACGGCACCGACCATCACACCCCCGTGCACGGCACCGACCATCACACCCCCCTGCACGGCACCGACCACTTCACACCCCCCTGCACGGCACCGACCATCACACCCCCATGCACGGCACCGACCATCACACCCCCCATGCACGGCACCGACCATCACACCCCCCTGCACGGCACCGACCATCACACCCCCCTGCACGGCACCGACCATCACACCCCCCTGCACGGCACCGACCACTTCCCACCCCCCTGCACGGCACCGACCATCACACCCCCCCTGCACGGCACCGACCATCACACCCCCATGCACGGCACCGACCACTTCCACACCCCCCCCTGCACGGCACCGACCATCACACCCCCCGTGCACGGCACCGACCATCACACCCCCCTGCACAGCACCGACCATCACACCCCCATGCACAGCACCGACCACTTCCCACCCCCCTGCACGGCACCGACCATCACACACCCCCATGCACGGCACCGACCACCACACCCCCATGCACGGCACCGACCATCACACCCCCCTGCACGGCACCGACCATCACACCCCCCTGCACGGCACCGACCATCACACCCCCATGCACGGCACCGACCACTTCACACCCCCCTGCACATGGCACCGACCATCACACCCCCCTGCACGGCACCGACCACTTCCCACCCCCCTGCACATGGCACCGACCATCACACCCCCTGCACGGCACCGACCATCACACCCCCGTGCACGGCAACCGACCACTTCCCACCCCCATGCACAGCACCGACCATCACACCCCCCATGCACGGCACCGACCACCACACCCCCCTGCACAGCACCGACCATCACACCCCCATGCACAGCACCGACCACTTCCCACCCCCCCCTGCACGGCACCGACCATCACACCCCCATGCACGGCACCGACCACCACACCCCCATGCACGGCACCGACCATCACACCCCCCTGCACTGCACCACCAGCACCCCCATGCACAGCACCGACCACCACACCCCCATGCACAGCACCGACCATCACACCCCCCCTGCACGGCACCGACCATCACACCCCCCTGCACGGCACCGACCACCACACCCCCATGCACAGCACCGACCATCACACCCCCCCTGCACGGCACCGACCATCACACCCCCCTGCACGGCACCGACCATCCACACCCCCATGCACGGCACCGACCATCACACCCCCATGCACGGCACCGACCATCACCCCCCCATGCACGGCACCGACCATCACACACCCCATGCACAGCACCGACCACTTCCCACCCCCATGCACAGCACCGACCATCTTCCCACCCCCATGCACAGCACCGACCATCACACCCCCATGCACAGCACCGACCATCACACCCCCATGCACAGCACCGACCATCACACCCCCCTGCACAGCACCGACCACCACACCCCCCATGCACAGCACCGACCATCACACCCCCTGCACAACACCGACCACCACACCCCCATGCACAGCACCGACCATCACACCCCCCCTGCACAGCACCGACCATCACACCCCCCCTGCACAGCACCGACCATCACACCCCCATGCACACACCGACCACCCCCCCACACCCCCATGCACGGCACCGACCATCACACCCCCATGCACAGCACCGACCATCACACCCCCATGCACGGCACCGACCATCACACCCCCATGCACGGCACCGACCATCACACCCCCATGCACAGGCACCGACCATCACACCCCATGCACAGCACCGACCACTTCCCACCCCCACTCTGCACACCATCCATTGTCGGGTGTCATGCACAATCCCGGAAAACATTCCGGTCATACACAGCACACCACTCCACCCCCAAGCGGTGTGTCACCGTGTCCTCGGCCATCATGGATACTTCAATGGGGTTCCTACACCCGGGGATGGAGCGGGCACTGGACCGAATACTCTGCACTTTCCCGGGACGAGGCAGCTAAACAAACCAGCCATGTTAGTGTTATTATTACACCTCATTTAAAGGGGGAGTCCACCCGCAACTGGACAGTTGGATCATTAAAAGAAAAAAGTCAGCGCAAAGGACCAACTCAGAGGCATAGGATCTGTCCCTTGTGCTGATTCAGGTTATCCTCCTCCCGCTGCCATGATCTTCCGGAGCTCATTTAAGAACCGAGGGGAGCAGTAACAGGGCTTTCATCAATTGAGCCAAACTATGCCCGCCCTGTACTAGTGTCTATGACTGAGACAGGATCTATGAATGGAGGGGGCGGAGCCATCAATCATCCGCCCCCTCCTCCATTCACAGAAGGCGTAGCACGGCTTTGTTGAGAGGAAAGGGTGGGCATAGTCGCACCGGTAGATTATGGCGGCGGGGGGGGGGCATCAGCTAACAGAAGAGACATCAGCACAAGGGACATACCCCACTGACTATATGTTATGTCCCATTGTGCTGATTTGTTGTTTTTTTCCTGCATTTAGGAAGTGTGAGAGCCACAAGAGGGGAAATATGGAACAGCAACACAAGTCACATGAGGATTACCTGTTCAACCTGGACGTAGGAGCCGTGCTGCTCGCAGCCGATGTCAAAGATGTATTTCCCAGGACCGAGCATCTGAGGAGAGACGCAGCACCGTGATTGGTTGGTGGGGGAGGGGTATATTTTGCCTTCTCTGCCCCCCCAATTGCAGACTGTACTGGTCAGTGATTCTGTGTGTCGTCATTCATGGGGCGACCCGTTCACTTCATGAGCTGAAGCCTCCACCCCCATCCTGGACCCTTAGGAGAATTCTGAAGGGCTGAGCCCGAGGTGTTGTGACTCCTCCCCCCAGCCCTGGACTCCTCCCCCAGCGGGACCATGTTATGTTAGAGCACGGGTGTCCAACTGGCGGCCCTCCAGTTGTTGCCGAACTACAAGTCCCATGAGGCATTGCGAGATTGACAGCCACAAGTATGGCTCCCAAAGACAGAGGCATGATGGGACTTGTAGTTCGGCAACAGCTGGAGGGCCGCCATTTGGACACCCCTGTGTTACGGCATTTAGGATGCGCAGAGGGCGTGGTCTGTGATGTCACCGGACCGGTCCATTAGGCAAATGGAAGGGAGGGAAGACCTAAGCCCGGAGTTGGACTTTAAGTAGTAAACCATTACACCCCCAACTAGAATGACCCCACAGATGTCGCCATCCAATGAGGAGGCGGAGCTACTCACCATTGTGTTGGAGAACTTCCCCTGGTAGCGGTGGTTCAGATGAATGAGCTCTCCGGCTCCGTCCTGCTTACCGTTCACCCAGGTGCCCACATACTTGGATCCCGTGTCAGCGTAGGTGTACACGCCTTGTCCGTGCCTGCGGGGGAGGGGACAGTACACACAGATTAGAGGACAACAGACCTGTGATTGGACAATGAAAGGAGAAGCAGCAGACTGATAAGCCCTCCTTCTCTGTCACTCTGCTCTCTCCTCCTATCAGCATGCCTCAACACATGACTGGATTGGATCGATGAGCTTCTCCCTCTCAGTCTGAGCTCTGGGCTGACACCAGGTCAGGGGTTTACATTTACTGAGTGCAGTGCAGCTCACAGCGTGCCCAGGAGACGAGGACGGTCCCACCCACAGGGGAGGAGTCAGAGCGTTGAAGGACATTACCTCTGATGGGAGAACCAGTCTCCGCTGTACGTGTCTCCATTGGGGTAGGTGTAGACGCCTTGTCCCTGCCGCTGGTCATCCACCCAATCACCTGGAGGGAGAGGACAGTAGGGTGTCATTGGAAGCACTCATTTTGGGGAGATCCAAGGTTGAGGGCGGGGGGTAGACCACGGACCACTGTGTCCATTCTTCAACTGCCCCCTATATGTATGTCACATTCTGGACCAACCCTCTGCGGTCTTATTTATTTATAAAAAGCTAAAAAAAAAGTGCTTTTACAATTTTTTTATATTTTTATAATTTTTTTTTTTTTAAATCCTGCAATTGTATCTGAGAATTACAGTGTGAAAGTGAGGCACACTGCCACCTTCAGGCTGCTCTGATATCTGCAGGCCTCTTTGGTCGATGACGCCTCCACCCTGAATAGTGACATAGTGATCACATGATCGGGATCCACTCTGACCGGACATTGTCCTCTATGAGCCATCAGGTCACGCCTTTGACCCTCCCTCATCCTATGCACACACCAGGGGTGGGGGCGGGGAACAAGCAGGACACAGGTCTTCTGTGATAAATGAGGGCCGGCCAGTAGGCTTTATGCCATGACAGATACATGGGATGTCAGGACACCCGTCTTCCCCCATCTGCTCTCCACACGTCGTGAGGAAATTCCCCCCTTAGCCAACTTTCACAGATACAGGGGTCCCCATTCCAATCTGAACCTCACACCACTTCCTGTCTTACTGGTCATGGCCACCAGGACAGATAGAGGGTGAATCTTCCCAGAGGGCAGGGATGGGAGGAGGGGGTTTGGATTTTTTGGCTTTAGATAAACTATGGGGTCTCTGGGGCTCTCTATGGGGTCTCTATGGGGTCTCTGGGGGCTCTCTATGGGGCATCTGGGGCTCTCTATGGGGTCCCAGGGGTTCTCTGTGGGGTCTCTGGGGCTCTCTGTGGGGTTCTCTATGGGGTCTCTGGGGCCCTCTATGGGGTCTATGGGACTCTCTATGGGGTTCTCTATGGGGTCTCTGGGGCTCTCTATGGGGCCTCTGGGGCTCTCTATGGGTTCTCTATGAGATCTCTGGGGCTCTCTATGGGGTTGCTGGGGCTCTGTATGGATTGCTGGGGCTCTTTATGGGTCACTGGGGCTCTCTATGGGGTCTCCGGGGTTCTCTATGAGGTCTCCGGGGCTCTCTATGGGGCCTCTGGGGCTCTCTATGGGGTCTCTGGGGCTCTCTATGGGGTCTCTGGGGCTCTCTATGGGGTCTCTGGGGCCCTCTATGGGGTCTCTGGGACTCTCTATGGGGTCTCTGGGGCTCTCTATGAAGTCTCTGGGGCTCTCTACGGGGCCTCTGGGCCTCTCTAAGCCGTCTCTGGGCCTCTCTATGGGGCCTCTGGGGCTCTCTATGGGGCCTCTGGGGCTCTCTATGGGGCCTCTGGGGCTCTCTATGGGGCCTCTGGGGCTCTCTATGGGGCCTCTGGGGCTCTCTATGGGGCCTCTGGGGCTCTCTATGGGGCCTCTGGGGCTCTCTATGGGGCCTCTGGGGCTCTCTACGGGGCCTCTGGGCCCTCTCTACGGGGCCTCTGGGCTCTCTCTACGGGGCCTCTGGGCCTCTCTACGGGGTCTCTGGGACTCTCTACGGGGTCTCTGGGGGGACTCTCTATGGGGTTCTCTATGGGGTCTCTGGGGCTCTCTATGAAGTCTCTGGGGCTCTCTATGAAGTCTCTGGGGCTCTCTATGAAGTCTCTGGGGCTCTCTACGGGGCCTCTGGGCCTCTCTATGCGGTCTCTGGGCCTCTCTATGCGGTCTCTGGGCCTCTCTATGCGGTCTCTGGGGCTCTCTATGCGGTCTCTGGGGCTCTCTATGGGGCCTCTGGGGCTCTCTATGGGGCCTCTGGGGCTCTCTATGGGGCCTCTGGGGCTCTCTATAGGGTCTCTGGGCCTCTCTACGCGGTCTCTGGGCCTCTCTATGCGGTCTCTGGGCCTCTCTATGCGGTCTCTGGGCCTCTCTATGCGGTCTCTGGGGCTCTCTATGGGGCCTCTCTCTGGGGGCTGTCTATGGGGCCTCTGGGGCCCTCTATGGGGTCTCTGGGCCTCTCTATGGGGTCTTTGGGCCTCTCTATGGGGTCTCTGGGGCTGTCTATGGGGCCTCTGGGGCCTCTCTATGGGGCCTCTGGGGCTCTCTATGCGGTGGGGCTCTCTCTGGGGCTCTCTATGGGGTCTCTGGGGCCCTCTATGGGGTCTCTGGGCCTCTCTATGGGGTCTTTGGGCCTCTCTATGGGGTCTCTGGGGCTGTCTATGGGGCCTCTGGGGCTCTCTACGGGGTCTCTGGGGCTGTCTATGGGGCCTCTGGGCTCTCTCTACGGGGTCTCTGGGCCTCTCTCTACGGGGTCTCTGGGGCTCTCTATGGGGCCTCTGGGGCTGTCTATGGGGCCTCTGGGCCTCTCTATGGGGGTCTCTGGGCCTCTCTATGCCTATGGGGTCTCTGGGGCTCTCTATGGGGCCTCTGGGGCTCTCTATGGGGCCTCTGGGGCTCTGGGGCTCTCTATGGGGCCTCTGGGGCTCTCTATGGGGCCTCTGGGGCTCTCTATGGGGCCTCTGGGGCTCTCTATGGGGCCTCTGGGGCTCTCTATGGGGCCTCTGGGGCTCTCCACGGGGTCTCTGGGCCTCTCTATGGGGTCTCTGGGCCTCTCTATGGGGTCTTTGGGCCTCTCTATGGGGTCTCTGGGGCTCTGTACATTGATGAAGCTCAGGGAATGTGCATTGTGCTCCATTGGCTCCAGGTATCCAAAAGCCGGTGGAGAGCAACCGAAATGAAAGCAAGTGCCTGGTCACGGGACCTGTCCAAGTCACATGACTGTTTCTCCATCACAGGCAGTGAAGCTGCTCTAGGCAGAGACAACTTTGTAGGGAAGCGGAGGCTTCACACATTTTATGAATGGGCTGCACAAAGCCACCAATAGGTAAAGGAGTAAGAATTTTCTGACTTTATGTCAGTCCAGCCATGACTCCCTAAAGCTGAACTCCAGGACAAAAATAAATGATCCTTCAAAGTGGGGATCCCCTCCCGGAATGTAAGGGTCACATTTTTGTTTTGTCTAGGGGAAAAAAAAAAAAGTAGTTAAACTTTCCTTATCCTTCGCACCCGCAGGCTCCTCCTCTCCATGTGACTGGTCCCTTGAAATCTCTTCTTTTCACCACTCCCCTGGTCACACTCTTACATCACCATGGACAATGCAGGACCAGCAGTAGTGACCTGCCCATAACCCAAAGAGGGTAGAAAGACCTACCTGTAACCCAGCGAGAGGAGAAAGACCTACCTGTAACCCAGCGAGAGGAGAAAGACCTACCTGTAACCCAGCGAGAGGAGAAAGACCTACCTGTAACCCAGCGAGAGGAGAAAGACCTACCTGTAACCCAGTGAGGGTAGAAGGGCCCACTCATAACCCAGCGAGAGGAGAAAGACCTACCTGTAACCCAGTGAGGGTAGAAGGGCCCACTCATAACCCAGCGAGAGGAGAAAGACCTACCTGTAACCCAGCGAGAGGAGAAAGACCTACCTGCAACCCAGCGAGAGGAGAAAGACCTACCTGTAACCCAGCGAGAGAGGAGAAAGACCTACCTGTAACCCAGTGAGGGTAGAAGGGCCCACTCATAACCCAGCGAGAGGAGAAAGACCTACCTGTAACCCAGAGAGAGGAGAAAGACCTACCTGTAACCCAGCGAGGGTAGAAGGGCCCACTCATAACCCAGAGAGAGGAGAAAGGGACATCCATACGTCAAAAGAGAAGACGGACCCACCTATATTCCGGAAAAGGGTCTATCCATAACCCAAAAGAGAAGAAGGGCCCACTCATATCCCAAAGAAGGGCTCGCCCATAACTGGGAGAGAGGAGAAGGGCTCGCCCATAAACGGGGGAGAGAGGAGAAGGGCTCGCCCATAACCGGGAGAGAGGAGAAGGGCTCGCCCATAACCGGGGAGAGAGGAGAAGGGCTCGCCCATAACCGGGAGAGAGGAGAAGGGCTCGCCCATAACCGGGAGAGAGGAGAAGGGCTCGCCCATAACCGGGAGAGAGGAGAAGTACCCGCCCATAACTGGGAGAGAGGAGAAGTACCCGCCCATAACTGGGAGAGAGGAGAAGTACCCGCCCATAACTGGGAGAGAGGAGAAGTACCCGCCCATAACTGGTAGAGAGAGGAGAAGTACCCGCCCATAACTGGGAGAGAGGAGAAGTACCTTCTGTCACAACACACAGTGAAGTACGCAGTCCAACCATTTTGTAGGCACCTCCATCTGGGTACGGAGTATATGTTGTGTCTCATTTCTCACTCTCCCCCCTCCCTCTCTGAGAGACACAGAGCAGCAGGGGGCCCAGAGCTACAAAGCCCCCCAAGAGAGGCAGAGCCTCTGCCTGAGAACCTGTGTGATTTCACACCTCCTAACAGAGATAAGGGAGCCTTCCCAGAGGTTGGAACAGATGCTGACCTGATGGAAAAGTACAGCCTGAAATACCTGTTTATTATATTACCTGGCTGGAGGACCAGATTATTATAACAAATGCCTGGAGTTGGTCTTCAGCTCAAAGCTTTCATTGGAGCACAAGACAGTGAAGGGGTGAAGAAGTTCTTCTCTAGTTACCTTCGTACTTGGATCCATCAGGATACATGAAGGTCCCCACACCGTGTTTCCGGTTCTGGTAATACTCTCCTATGTACCGAGAGCCATTCTTGAATCGGTAAGTTCCCTGTCAATGGAAACCATGATGAATGTTCTACATATACACATTTCCTGCCTCATCCAGGGCCCGATACCTCTCCGGGCTCTGTCATCTATGTTGGGCCAGGCATGGCAGCATTGTGTAGAGGGTCCAAGACCTCATTTTCCCTCTACCACCTTCCAGAACAAAGAAATAAAGAAATGTGGGCAAGATGTGATACTGAGCCCCCATGAGTGGCTGGATACCAGTGGTTGAGGGTGATGCCCCAATCTCCCATCCCTTCAATGTGGGGTCCCCAATCTCCTATCTTCAACCACTGGAGGGATCTTCTATTTCCCATCCCCTGATTGTGAGATCTCCAATTTTCCATACCTCCCATGCGCTCACTGTAGGGTGTAAAATTGCACATACCTACCATCCCCCAACCATGGGACTTCCCATCTCTCCCACCTCTGAGCCTATGACTACAGGGTCCCCAAATCTCTCCTATCTATGATTCCACAACTGTTGAGTCTCCAAGGGTCACCAATCTGCCTGTAATCCCACCACCAAGAGGGTACCCAATCTCTCCTACCTTTCTCCTAGCTCTAATGTCACCACCATTGGGTTCTCTTACCTCCCCACCTTTAATCTCACCACTGCAAGGTCCCCAATTTCTACTACCTCTGATCCCACCACCATTGGGATCTCCTACCTCCACAACCTCCATTCCCATCTCCAAGGTCCCCAATTTCTACTACCTCTGATCCCACCACCATTGGGATCTCCTACCTCCACAACCTCCATTCCCATCTCCAAGGTCCCCAATCTCTACTACCTCTGATCCCACCACCATTGGGATCTCCTACCTCCACAACCTCCATTCCCATCTCCAAGGTCCCCAATCTCTACTACCTCTGATCCCACCACCATTGGGATCTCCTACCTCCACAACCTCCATTCCCATCTCCAAGGTGCACAATCTCTACTACCTCTGATCCCACCACCATTGGGATCTCCTACCTCCACAACCTCCATTCCCATCTCCAAGGTCCCCAATTTCTACTACCTCTGATCCCACCACCATTGGAATCTCCTACCTCCACAACCTCCATTCCCATCTCCAAGGTCCCCAATCTCTACTACCTCTGATCCCACCACCATTGGGATCTCCTACCTCCACAACCTCCATTCCCATCTCCAAGGTCCCCAATTTCTACTACCTCTGATCCCACCACCATTGGGATCTCCTACCTCCACAACCTCCATTCCCATCTCCAAGGTCCCCAATCTCTACTACCTCTGATCCCACCACCATTGGGATCTCCTACCTCCACAACCTCCGTTCCCATCTCCAAGGTCCCCAATTTCTACTACCTCTGATCCCACCACCATTGGGATCTCCTACCTCCACAACCTCTGTTCCCATCTCCAAGGTGCACAATCTCTACTACCTCTGATCCCACCACCATTGGGATCTCCTACCTCCACAACCTCCATTCCCATCTCCAAGGTGCACAATCTCTACTACCTCTGATCCCACCACCATTGGGATCTCCTACCTCCATAACCTCCATTCCCATCTCCAAGGTCCCCAATCTCTACTACCTCTGATCCCACCACCATTGGGATCTCCTACCTCCACAACCTCCATTCCCATCTCCAAGGTCCCCAATTTCTACTATCTCTGATCCCCACCACCATTGGGATCTCCTACCTCCACAACCTCCATTCCCATCTCCAAGGTCCCCAATTTCTACTACCTCTGATCCCACCACCATTGGGATCTCCTACCTCCACAACTTCCATTCCCATCTCCAAGGTACCCCCAATTTCTACTACCTCTGATCCCACCACCATTGGGATCTCCTACCTCCACAACCTCTGTTCCCATCTCCAAGGTGCACAATCTCTACTACCTCTGATCCCACCACCATTGGGATCTCCTACCTCCACAACCTCCATTCCCATCTCCAAGGTCCCCAATTTCTACTACCTCTGATCCCACCACCATTGGGATCTCCTACCTCCACAACCTCTGTTCCCATCTCCAAGGTCCCCAATCTCTACTACCTCTGATCCCACCACCATTGGGATCTCCTACCTCCACAACCTCCATTCCCATCTCCAAGGTCCCCAATTTCTACTACCTCTGATCCCACCACCATTGGGATCTCCTACCTCCACAACCTCCATTCCCATCTCCAAGGTCCCCAATTTCTACTACCTCTGATCCCACCACCATTGGGATCTCCTACCTCCACAACCTCCATTCCCATCTCCAAGGTCCCCAATTTCTACTATCTCTGATCCCACCACCATTGGGATCTCCTACCTCCACAACCTCCATTCCCATCTCCAAGGTCCCCAATTTCTACTACCTCTGATCCCACCACCATTGGGATCTCCTACCTCCACAACCTCTGTTCCCATCTCCAAGGTGCACAATCTCTACTACCTCTGATCCCACCACCATTGGGATCTCCTACCTCCACAACCTCCATTCCCATCTCCAAGGTGCACAATCTCTAGTACATTTGATTCTGTTAAGGATCCGGGTATGACCAGAAATGTGTGGGAACACAGGCGTAGTCAGGGCTGGAGAGGTGGAATGGTCAGGCAGGCCGTTAGGTACTGTCAGGCACCGCCCGGCGGGATCTCTAGTACCCACAGAACGGGATTCCCCAGGGCGCGGAGTCTAAGCCCCAGTCTGCCTTTTCACCAGTGCCCCTGATGGTGGGGATGGACTTGGCGCAGGACTGAGACCAGGTTGCGGCCCCTGAGTGCACCCAACTGTGGTAGAGGGGTCCGCCGAGGGTATGTACCGGGGGAAAGCCTGATGTGAAGAGGCTGGCAGACCTGGTAACAGGGACAGATCTATGCGGGATGGATGGATCGTCTGGGTAGCGTCAGGCGTAGTCAGGCAGGCCAGGTCAGCAACGTGTGGGCAGTGAGGTACCGGAGGAGAAGGCAGAGAATAGTCGGGTCACAAGCCGGGTTCAGTAACTCACGGGCAGCGCGGTACAGAGGATCAGGCAGAAGGATGGTCAGGCAAGCCAGGGGTTCAACAGGAGACGGTCAGCAGAGGTCAGGATCAGCAACAAATCAGATAGTCAGCAGAACAGGAACACAGGATACCAGGTACAGGGGCTCATGGGAAACATACACCAAGGAACTGACTGCAGGTCTGGCCATTCCTTAAATACACCTCCTGCAATCAGCCCTGGTACTGCAGCCCACACGGCAGGTGAGTCCCACCACCACTGGCAAGTCCATTCCTGACAGATGCCACCATTGTGAGGTCTTCTACCTTCCCTGCCTCCAATTCCACCACTGTGGGGTACCTAATCTCACCTACATCTGATCCCAACACTGTGGGATCTCCTATATTCCCCACCTCTGATCCTATCAGTATGGGGCCACCAATCTCTTCTACCTCACATCCCACCACTGTGGTCTCCCCATTTTCCTCTACCTCCAACTGCTGTGAGATCTCAATCTCTCCTAGCTCTGATCCCACCACTGTGGGGTCTTATCCTCCCACCTCTCATCACACCACTGAGGGATCTCCAATCTCTTCTGCCTCTGATCCCACCATCATGGGGTCTCCTACCACTCCAACTTCTGATCTCACCACTGTGGGGTCTCCTTTCTTCCCACCTCCAACTCCACCACTAAGTGCTCCCCAATCTCTTCTGGCTCTGATCCAACCATTGTGGGGTCCCCAATCTCTTCTGCCTCTGATCCCACCACCATCAGGTCTCCTACCTCTCCAACCTCTGATCTCACCACTGTGGGGTCTTATCCTCCCACCTCTCATCCCACCACTGAGGGATCCCCTATCTCTTCTGCCTCTGATCCCACCATCATCGGGTCTCCTACCTCTCCAACTTCTGATCTCACCACTGTGGGGTCTCCTTTCTTCCCACCTCCAACTCCACCACTAAGTGCTCCCCAATCTCTTCTGGCTCTGATCCAACCATTGTGGGGTCCCCAATCTCTTCTGCCTCTGATCCCACCACCATCAGGTCTCCTACCTCTCCAACCTCTGATCTCACCACTGTGGGGTCTTATCCTCCCACCTCTCATCCCACCACTGAGGGATCCCCTATCTCTTCTGCCTCTGATCCCACCATCATCGGGTCTCCTACCTCTCCAACTTCTGATCTCACCACTGTGGGGTCTCCTTTCTTCCCACCTCCAACTCCACCACTAAGTGGTCCCCAATCTTTTTTTGCCTCTGATCCAACCATTGTGGGGTCCCCAATTTCCTCTACCTCTTATCCCACTACTAATGGGTCCCCAATCTCTTCTGCCTCTGAACCAACCATCATGGGGTCCCAAATCTCCTCTACCACTGATCCCACCATTGGTGGGTCCCCAATCTTTACTACTTCTCATCCAACCACCATGGGAGTCCCTAATCTCTCCTACCTCTGATCCCACCACTGTAGAGTCACCAATCTCTCCTGCTTCCCATCCCACCACCATGGGGTCCCGTCCCCAATCTCTTCTGCCTCTGATCCTACCATGGTGGGGTCCCCAATCTATCCTATCACCATGGGGTCTCCTACCTCCCCCACCTCCAATCCCACCAATGAGCAGACCTCAATCTCCTCTACCCCCGTGGGGTCCCCAATCTATCCCATCACCATGGGGTCTCCTATCTCCCCCACCACCAATCCCACCAATGAGCAGACCTCAATCTCCTCTACCCCCGTGGGGTCCCCAATCTATCCTATCCCCATGGGGTCTCCTACCTCCCCCACCTCCAATCCCACCAATGAGCAGACCTCAATCTCCTCTACCCCCGTGGGGTCCCCAATCTATCCTATCACCATGGGGTCTCCTACCTCCCCCACCACCAATCCCACCACTGAGCAGCCCTCAATCTCCTCTACCCCGTGGGGTCCCCAATCTCCCCTTCCTTTGTATTGTGTATGTACCATACATTGTATAGAATCGATGTATCTTGTTTAGTTATCGGTCTCCTCCTGAGTATACATCAGAATATATTGGGGAGCAGAGACCGCCCCTCCAGCTGCTCTCAGACTCGGGGGGGCGGAGTGGAAATTATTGTAGTTTCAGAAAAGGGAAGTCTCACTGTTTATGGAAGAGTTTTGGGGACACCCAAAGAACTGAGAAGTGGCTACACAAAAACCGGACTTTATAACCACTGCAGAGGTATGAAGGTGTAGGTGGGGAGGAATGTGGGAGGAGTGAGGGAGGAATGTGGGAGGAGTGTATGAGGAATGTGGGAGGAGTGTAAGAGGGGTGTGGGAGGAGTGTGGGAGCAATGTAGGAGGAGTGTGGGAGAAATGTGGGAGGAGTGTGGGAGGGGTGTTGTAGGTGTGGGGAGGGGTGTAAGAGGGGTGTGGGTGGAGTGTGGGAGCAATGTAGGAGGAGTGTGGGAGGAGTGTAAGAGGGGTGTGGGTGGAGTGTGGGAGCAATGTAGGAGGAGTGTGAGAGGAATGTGGGAGGGGTGTGGGAGGAATGTAGGAGGAGTGGGAGGGGTGTGGGAGGAATGTGGGAGGAATGTGGGGAGGAATGTGGGAGGGGTGTAGGAGGAATGTGGGAGGGGTGTGGGAGGAATGTAGGAGGGGTGTGGGAGGAATGTAGGGGGGGGTGTGGGAGGAATGTAGGAGGGGTGTGGGAGGAATGTAGGAGGAGTGGGAGGGGTGTGGGAGGGTTGTGGGAGGAATGTGGGAGGAATGTGGGAGGGGTGTAGGAGGAATGTGGGAGGGGTGTGGGAGGAATGTAGGAGGGGTGTGGGAGGAATGTAGGAGGGGGGTGTGGGAGGAATGTGGGAGGAATGTGGGAGGAATGTAGGAGGGGTGTGGGAGGGGTGTGGGAGGAATGTGGGAGGAATGTGGGAGGGGTGTGGGAGGAATGTGGGAGGGGTGTGGGAGGAATGTGGGAGGGGTGTGGGAGGAATGGGGGTGTGGGAGGAGTGCAATGTCCATAGAGATCACCTCCCAGCAGAGGTTCAGGATCACACATTGTATGGAGGGATTGCTGCATGTGAGTGGACGGACGATGAATGCAGGAAGTGACCTCACCTGGCCGTGTCTCCTCCCATTCTCATACATCCCTTCATAGGTGTCACCGTTCGGCAACCGAGCTTTACCCTGACCATGCCGCTCCTTCACCTCATTCCGCTCCCCTTCATATTCCTGGAAGACAGAGACATAGGAGTGAGACCCCAACACCTGAGAGACATAGGGGGGAGACCCCGACACCTGAGAGAGACATAAGGGGGAGACCCCGACACCTGAGAGAGACATAAGGGGGAGACCCCGACACCTGAGAGAGACATAGGGGGGAGACCCCGACACCTGAGAGACATAGGGGGGAGACCCCGACACCTGAGAGACATAAGGGGGAGACCCCGACACCTGAGAGACATAGGAGTGAGACCCCGACACCTGAGAGACATAGGAGTGAGACCCCAACACCTGAGAGACATAAGGGGGAGACCCCGACACCTGAGAGAGACATAAGGGGGAGACCCCGACACCTGAGAGAGACATAAGGGGGAGACCCCGACACCTGAGAGACATAGGAGTGAGACCCCGACACCTGAGAGACATAGGGGGGAGACCCCGACACCTGAGAGAGACATAGGGGGGAGACCCCGACACCTGAGAGAGACATAGGGGGGAGACCCCAACACCTGAGAGAGACATAGGGGTGAGACCCCAACACCTGAGAGACATAAGGGGGAGACCCCAACACCTGAGAGAGACATAGGGGGGAGACCCCGACACCTGAGAGAGACATAGGGGGGAGACCCCGACACCTGAGAGAGACATAGGAGTGAGACCCCGACACCTGAGAGACATAGGAGTGAGACCCCAACACCTGAGAGACATAAGGGGGAGCCCCGACACCTGAGAGAGACAAAGGGGTGAGACCCCGACACCTGAGAGAGACATAGGGGTGAGACCCCGACACCTGAGAGAGACATAGGGGTGAGACCCCGACACCTGAGAGAGACATAGGGGTGAGACCCCGACACCTGAGAGAGACATAGGGGGGAGACCCCGACACCTGAGAGAGACATAGGGGGGAGACCCCGACACCTGAGAGACATAGGGGGGAGACCCCGACACCTGAGAGAGACATAGGGGGGAGACCCCGACACCTGAGAGAGACATAGGGGGGAGACCCCGACACCTGAGAGAGACATAGGGGGGAGACCCCCGACACCTGAGAGAGACATAGGGGGGAGACCCCGACACCTGAGAGACATAAGGGGGGGAGACCCCGACACCTGAGAGAGACATAGGGGGGAGACCCCGACACCTGAGAGAGACATAGGGGGGAGACCCCCCCGACACCTGAGAGAGACATAGGGGGGAGACCCCAACACCTGAGAGAGAGACATAGGGGGGAGACCCCGACACCTGAGAGAGACATAGGGGGGAGACCCCGACACCTGAGAGAGACATAGGGGGGAGACCCCGACACCTGAGAGACATAAGGGGGAGACCCCGACACCTGAGAGAGACATAGGGGGGAGACCCCGACACCTGAGAGACATAGGGGGGAGACCCCGACACCTGAGAGAGACATAGGGGGGAGACCCCGACACCTGAGAGAAATAGGGGGGAGACCCCGACACCTGAGAGAGACATAGGGGGGAGACCCCGACACCTGAGAGAGACATAGGGGGAGACCCCGACACCTGAGAGAGACATAGGGGGGAGACCCCGACACCTGAGAGACATAGGGGGGAGACCCCGACACCTGAGAGAGACATAGGGGGGAGACCCCGACATCTGAGAGAGACATAGGGGGAGACCCCGACACCTGAGAGAGACATAGGAGTGAGACCCCGACACCTGAGAGAGACATAGGAGTGAGACCCCGACACCTGAGAGATTTCCCTTCACTTCCTGTCCCACAGCGAGAACAGGAAGTGAAGTGATCCCTGGGTGTCCCCGTGGGGGAGATTTCTGGTCATTTCCTGTCCCCACGGCGAGAACAGGAAGTGAAATAAATCCCTGAGTGTCCCCACGGTAGAGATTTCCAGTCACCTCCTGTCCCACTGCGGGAACAGGAAGTGAAGGGATCCCTGGGTGTCCCCGTGGGGGAGATTTCCCGCCACTTCCTGTCCCACAGAGAGAAAAGGAAGTGAAGGTCTCCCTGGGTGTCCCCGTGGGGGAGATTTCCCGTCACTTCCTGTCCCACAGAGAGATCAGGAAGTGAAGGGATCCCTGGGTGTCCCCAGGGGGGAGATTTCCCGCCACTTCCTGTCCCACAGAGAGAACAGGAAGTGAAGGTCTCCCTGGGTGTCCCCGTGGGGGAGATTTCCCGTCACTTCCTGTCCCACAGAGCGAACAGGAAGTGAAGGGCTCCCTGAGTGTCCCCACGGTGGAGATTTCCTGTCACTTCCTGTCCCACTGCGAGAACAGGAAGTGAAGTGATCCCTGGGTGTCCCCGTGGTGGAGATTTCCCATCACATCCTGTCCTATAGAGAGAACAAGAAGTGAAGGGATCCCTGAGTGTCCCCACGGTAGAGATTTCCTGTCACTTCCTGTCCCACTGCGAGTACAGGAAGTGAAGGGATTCCTGGGTGTCCCAGTGTGGAGATTTCTTATCACTTCCTGTCCCTTGGTGAGAACAGGAAGTGAAGGGATCCCTAAGTGTCCCCCGGGTAGAGATTTCCTGTCACTTCCTGTCCCACTGCAAGAACAGGAAGTGAAGGGATCCCTGAGTGTCCCCGTGGGGGGAGATTTTCCCGTCACTTCCTGTCCCATGATGAGAACAAGAAGTGAAGGGTTCCCTGAGTGTCCCTCACGATGGAGATTTCCCATCACTTCTTGTCCTATGGTAAGAACAGGAAGTCAAAAGATATCTGGGTGTCCCCGTGGTGGAGATTTCCCGTCACTTCCTGTCCCATAATGAGAACAGGAAGTGAAGGGATCCCTGGGTGTCCCCGTGGGGGACATTTCCTGTCACTTCCTGTCTCATGGTGAGAACAGAAGTGAAGGGATCCCTAGGTGTCCCCACGGTAGAGACTTTCTGTCACTTCCTGTCCCACTGCGAGTACAGGAAGTGAAGGGATCCCTGGGTGTCCCCGTGGTGGATATTTCCAGTTACTTCCTGTCCCATGGTGAGAACAGGAAGTGAAGGGATCCCTGAGTGTCCATGTGGGGGAGATTTCCCGTCACTTCCTGTCCCACGGTGAGAACAGGAAGTTAAGGAATCCCTGGGTTTCCTCCTGGGGGAGATTTACCGTCACTTTCTGTCCCACAGAGAGCAAAAGAAGTGAATGGATCCCAGGGTGTCCCCGTGGGGGAGATTTCCCGTCACTTCCTGTCCCATGATGAGAACAGGAAGTGAAGGGATCCCTGAGTGTCCCCACGGTGGAGATTTCGTGTCACTTCCTGTCCCACTGCGAGAACAGGAAGTGAAGGGTTCCCTGGGTGTCCCCGTGGGGGAGATCACCCGTTACTTCCTGTCCCATGATGAGAACCGGTAGTGAATGGATCCCTGGGTGTCACAGTGGGAGAGATTTCCTGTCACTTCCTGTCCCACGGTGAGAACAGGAAATGAAGGGATCCCTGAGTGTCCCCGTGGGAAAGATTTCCTGTCACTTCCTGTCCCATGGTAAGAACAGGAAGTGAAGGGATCCCTGAGTGTCCAGGTGGGGGAGATTTCCTGTCACTTACTGTCCCACGGTGAGAACAGGAAGTGAAGGGATCCCTGGGTTTCCCCGTGGGGAAGATGGTAGAGATTTCCTGACCCTGTCCCACGGTGAGAACAGGAAGTGAAGGATCCCTGGGTGTCCCGTCCCATCGGTGAGAACAGGGGATCCCTGGGTGTCCCCGGGGGGAGATTTCTTCCCCCTGATGGGGGAGATTTTACCATTACTTCCTGTTCCTGTCCCATCCCTGGGTGTCCCCATAGAGATGAGAACAGGAAGTGAATGGATCCCCCTGGAGTGTTCACTTCCTGTCCCCAGAAGTGAAGGGGTCCCCGTGGGGAGATTTCCCATTACTTCCTGTCCATGATGAGAACAGGAAGTGAATGGATCCCTGGGTGTCCCCGTGGTAGAGATTTCCTGTCACTTCCTGTCCCACGGTGAGAACAGGAAGTGAAGGGATCCCTGGGTGTCCCCGTGGGGGAGATTTCCTGTACTTCCTGTCCCATGGTGAGAACAGGAAAGTGAAGGGATCCCTGGGTTTCCCCGTGGGGAGATTTCCTGTTACTTCCTCCCATGATGAGAACAGGAAGTGAAGGGGTGTCCCGTGGAGAGATTTCCTGTCACTTCCTGTCCCTGTGAGAACAGGAAGTGAAGGGATCCCTGGGTGTCCCCCGTGGTAGAGATTTCCTGTGTCAACGGTGAGAACAGAAGTGAGGGATCCCTGGGTGTCCCGTGGGAGATTTCCTGTCACTTCCTGTCCCGGTGGTGAGAACAGGTAGTGAATGGATCCCTGGGTGAGAACAGGAAGTGAAGGGATCCCTGGTGTCCCCGTGGTGGAACAGATTTCCCCGTGGGGGAGATTTCCTGTCCCTTCCTGTCCCATGAGAACAGGAAGTGTCAGGGATCCCTGTCACTTCCTGTCCCCGTGGGTGAGGGATTTCCTGGACTTCCTGTCCCCCTGAGAACAGGAAGTGAATGGATCCCCCCGTGGGGGAGATTTCCTGTCACTTCCTGTCACTTCCAGGGGAGGTGAGAACAGGAAGTGAATGGATCCCTGGGTGTCCCTGTGATTTCCCGTGTCCCGTGAGGAAGAGATTTCCCTGTCACTTGTCCCACGGTGAGAACAGGAAGTGAAGGGATCCCTGGGTGTCCCCACGGTGGAGATTTCCTGGGTGTCACTTCCTGTCCCTGTCCCATGCAAGAACAGAAGTGAAGGGTTCCCTGGGTGTCCCCGTGGGGGAGATTTCCTGTCACTTCCTGTCCCATGAGAACAGGAAGTGAAGGGATCCCTGGGTGTCCCCCGTGGGGGAGATTTCCCGTTACTTCCTGTCCCATGATGAGAACAGGAAGTGAATGGGATCCCTGGGTGTCCCTGTGGGAGAGATTTCCTGTCACTTCCTGTCCCACGGTGAGAACAGGAAGTGAAGGATCCCTGGATCCCTGAGTGTCCCTGTGGGAAAGATTTCCGTGTCACTTCCTGTCCCATGGTAGAGAACAGGAAGTGAATGGATCCCTGAGTGTCCCTGTGGGGGAGATTTCCGTGTCACTTCCTGTCCCCCTGTGGGGGAGAGAACAGAACAGTGAAGTGAAGGGATCCCTGAGTGTCCCCGTGGTAGAGATTTCCTGTCACTTCCTGTCCCACAGTGAGAACAGGAAGTGAAGGGATCCCTGGGTGTCCCCACGGTGGAGATTTCCGCTCTGGATGATGATGGGATCTTTCTATGGGGGACACACAGAGCCCCCATTAGGGTGTGATGATGACGTACACACGGTATATACACAGCTCACCCCCAGATCGGCCTCCTGCTCCTCCTCGAACTCCTCTGATCCCAGGTCGGACATCCTCTCACCTCTCTCTGTACGGACTGTCTGTACGGAACGCTGCTCTGTGTACTACTGTCTCCATGGACACCGGACCCGCCCACAGCACGCGTCGCCATGGAGAAGCCGACTTCCGGTATATGAAGCCAACGGTGACACGTGACGTACCGTATTGGTCAGCGCATGTCTTTCGGGAGGTGTTTTTACAAACTCCGGGCGCTGATTGGTTGGGGTGTTTTGCAAGTCTAGGTATGCACGCGGCGGCCATTGATACTGTGGGCATCTGAAGCCCACGCGTTGTTTCCTGGGATATCGGTGCAGCCGGCTACCCAGCATGCACCTTCCTATTTTACATCTGCGCAGTCAGGACGAGCTGTGTTTGATTGCAGGTTGCCATAGCAGCTTCCGCCCCGCTTTTTACGGCAGCCTGTCAATCAACAACTAGGTGATGCCCGGAGACTCCTGGGATGGGTGGTGCTAATAACCCAGGAGTCAATGGGAATCGCCTAATGACGTCATCGCGTAGGTGGCCGGGACAGGAAACCGAACAAAATTCGTTTAGCACGAGGGGGGGGTCTTAAAAATATGGTGGAACTCCGCTTTGACCACCGTGACCTCATGACCGAGGCATTGTTTTTCTCTATTCGGCACTGCGCCGCTTTAACAGGTAATTGCGCACTCATGCGACGCTGCAACCAAACGACATTCAATTCACTTTTTTCTCACATAAAATAGATCGTTCTTTTGGTGGTATTTGAGGGGTTTTTGTTTCTTTTTTACTATAAAAAACGAAAAGCGATATTTTTGACTTTTTCATTATAAACCCAATAAAATCGAATATTTTTTTCATAAATTTTGGCCAAAATGAATTCTGCTTCGTGTCTTCGGTAAAAAAAGCAAAGTCCCAGTAAGTGTCTATTGGTGGGTTTGTGTGGTTGAGTAGTCCCCAAAAGCAACCCTAGCCTTGTCCCGGGGCGTTGATGGACACGGCCCAAGTAAAGGTGCCCCATGTGCAGGACGGTGACCCCATTCAAGGCGCCCAGAGGAACCCAACCCCAGGGGTAGACCTCCTGGGATCAGCTCACATCATGGCGCCTGGGTACATCACGTTGAGAGGCCCCTAACTCCGGCCTTTATCTCATCACGTGGGATGGTGAGTACCAATAGCATGGGGAGAAGCCTGACCGGTGGAAGAACCTGGCAGGGAGAAGAGTTAGGTGGGACATCTATGTGGGGATCGTGTCGGGCCTCTGGCATTGGTAAGTGGGGTTGGTCCTGGAAGTATGAAGGCACCATAAGAAGGTCAATCAGCCACAGCTCAAGAAACCCCTAGCAACCTCTGGAGGAACATTAGGGTTCCACAGCAGCCTAGTTGACAATGGCTGATGTAGAAGGTTGTTGGTCATCTGACCGGCATGCTGAGTGGCTTCCTTTAAACATCCACCCATACAGGAGGACAAGGCTGGTCAACACTCTTTTCTATGGTCAGCCATCACATGGGTTGGTGAGTACCAATACTATGGGGAGAAGCCTGACCGGTGGAAGAACCTGGCAGGGAGAAGAGTTAGGTGGGACATCTATGTGGGGATCGTGTCGGGCCTCTGGCATTGGTAAGTGGGGTTGGTCCTGGAAGTATGAAGGCACCATAACAAGGTCAATCAGCCACAGCTCAAGAAACCCCTAGCAACCTCTGGAGGAACATTAGGGTTCCACAGCACCCTAGTTGACAATGGCTGATGTAGAAGATTGTTGGTCATCTGACCGGCATGCTGAGTTCCCCCTTTAAACATCCACCTATACCAGAGCACAGGATGCCAGGCCTGGTCACCGCTCTTTTCCATGGTCAGCCATCACATGGGTTGGTGAGTACCAATACCATGGGGAGAAGGCTGACCGGTGGAAGAACCTGGCAGGTAGAAGACTTAGGTGGGACATCTATTTGGGGATCGCGTCTAAAAAGAAAATTGTCAGGCTGCTGACTATGGTAAGTGGTGGTGGAAGTATGCAGACACTTAACATGGAAGGTCAGTCAGCCACGGCTCAAGGAACCATGAGCAACCTCTGGAGGAACCCTAGGGTACCAAAGGACCGTGGTTGACAATGGTTGATGTAGACGGTTGTTGGTGTCCGAACTGTGTGCTGAGCTCCCCCTTCAAATGTCCTCCTATACCAGAACATAGGATGCCAAGCCTGGTCACCCCACTTTTCTATGGTCAGCCTTCACATGGGTTAGTGAGTACCAATAGCGTGGGGAGAAGCCTGACCGGTGGAAGAACCTGGCAGGGAGAAGAGTTAGGTGGGACATCTATGTGGGGATCGTGTCGGGCCTCTGGCATTGGTAAGTGGGGTTGGTCCTGGAACTATGAAGGCACCATAAGAAGGTCAACCAGCCACAGCTCAAGGAACCCCTAGCAACCTCTGGAGGAACATTAGGGTTCCACAGCACCCTAGTTGACAATAGCTGATGTAGAAGGTTGTTGGGGTCCGAACTGTGTGCTGAGCTCCCCCTTCAAATGTCCTCCTATACCAGAACATAGGATGGTCACCCCACTTTTCTATGGTCAGCCTTCATGTGGTTTGGTGAGTACCAATAGCATGGGGAGAAGCCTGACCGGTGGAAGAATCTGGCAGGGAGAAGAGTTAGGTGGGACATCTATGTGGGGATCGTGTCGGGCCTCTGGTATTGGTAAGTGGGGTTGGTCCTGGAAATATGCAGACTCCATAAGGAGGTCAATCAGCCACAGCTCAAGGAACCCCTAGCAACCTCTGGAGGAACACTAGGGTTCCACAGCACCCTAGTTGACAATGGCTGATATAGACGGTTGTTGGGGTCCGAACTGTGTGCTGAGCTCCCCCTTCAAATGTCCTCCTATACCAGAACATAGGATGGTCACCCCACTTTTCTATGGTCAGCCTTCACGTGGGTTGGTGAGTACCAATAGCATGGGGAGAAGCCTGACCGGTGGAAGAATCTGGAAGGGAGAAGAGTTGGGTGGGGATTGTGTCTGTGATCTGGAGTTACGTAATATTTCCTGCAGAGTATAAAAAGTGACAGTTAAACATGCAAATGATCGTTGGTCCCCGGGGACGTGTCAGATTTAGTCACTTGGCAGCTGCAGAGTCGTCCTGTTCTACGCCTGATCCACCCGAGAGAATCACCGATCCGGGGAGAGAGAAGACACGGTAGGACATTCCCACACAATGTCAGATAACGAGGGCTAATCCATCAATATCCCTGATATACCAATAATCAATGGATCTACAGGAGGCCCAGCCAATGGGCCGCAGGCCATCAAGGGGGGACCCGCCTTTCTGATTGGTCGGAGTGTCCCGTTATTTGTAGGTGGTGTACTATGGAGAACTTTCAGATCTATCTCTTCTGTTCTCAGACCCTGCTGCCCAGCAAGTGGCCCCGAGACTGCATAGGGCCCTTTGGCTCTTGTTGTGGGGCCCCTGGGGGCATTTTTATCTTACCATATTGGCTGGTGAAGGGGAATCTTTGGGCGGGATCCTAGAAGTTGTATGGATGGGAGGAGAGACATCTCACATGGGGCATCAGTCATCTGTAGGTCTCTGACCGTCTCCTGTACTGTGTCTGCAGTCTCTGGTCATCTCCTGTACTATGTCCGCAGTCTCTGGTCATCTCCTGTACTATGTCTGCAGTCTCTGGTCATCCCCTGTACTGTGTCCGCAGTCTCTGGTCATCTCCTGTACTATGTCTGCAGTCTCTGGTCATCTCCTGTACTATGTCTGCAGTCTCTGGCCATCTCCTGTACTGTGTCCGCAGTCTCTGGTCATCTCCTGTACTATGTCTGCAGTCTCTGGTCATCTCCTGTACTATGTCTGCAGTCTCTGGCCATCTCCTGTACTGTGTCCGCAGTCTCTGGTCATCTCCTGTACCGTGTCCGCAGTCTCTGGTCATCTCCTGTACCGTGTCCGCAGTCTCTGGTCATCTCCTGTACTATGTCCGCAGTCTCTGGTCATCTCCTGTACTGTGTCCGCAGTCTCCGGTCATCTCCTGTACTATGTCCGCAGTCTCTGGTCATCTCCTGTACTATGTCTGCAGTCTCTGGTCATCTCCTGTACTGTGTCCGCAGTCTCTGGTCATCTCCTGTACTATGTCTGCAGTCTCTGGTCATCTCCTGTACTATGTCTGCAGTCTCTGGCCATCTCCTGTACTGTGTCCGCAGTCTCTGGTCATCTCCTGTACCGTGTCCGCAGTCTCTGGTCATCTCCTGTACCGTGTCCGCAGTCTCTGGTCATCTCCTGTACCGTGTCTGCAGTCTCTGGTCATCTCCTGTACCGTGTCCGCAGTCTCTGGTCATCTCCTGTACTGTGTCCGCAGTCTCTGGTCATCTCCTGTACCGTGTCCGCAGTCTCTGGTCATCTCCTGTACCGTGTCTGCAGTCTCTGGTCATCTCCTGTACTATGTCCGCAGTCTCTGGTCATCTCCTGTACTGTGTCCGCAGTCTCTGGTCATCTCCTGTACTATGTCTGCAGTCTCTGGCCATCTCCTGTACTGTGTCCGCAGTCTCTGGTCATCCCCTGTACTGTGTCTGCAGTCTCTGGTCATCTCCTGTACCGTGTCTGCAGTCTCTGGTCATCTCCTGTACTGTCCGCAGTCTCTGGTCATCTCCTGTACTGTGTCCGCAGTCTCTGGTCATCTCCTGTACTGTGTCCGCAGTCTCTGGTCATCTCCTGTACTGTGTCCGCAGTCTCTGGCCATCTCCTGTACTGTGTCCGCAGTCTCTGGTCATCTCCTGTACTATGTCTGCAGTCTCTGGTCATCCCCTGTACTGTGTCCGCAGTCTCTGGTCATCTCCTGTACTGTGTCCGCAGTCTCTGGTCATCCCCTGTACTATGTCCGCAGTCTCTGGTCATCTCCTGTACTGTGTCCGCAGTCTCTGGTCATCCCCTGTACTATGTCCCGCAGTCTCTGGTCATCTCCTGTACTATGTCCGCAGTCTCCGGTCATCTCCTGTACTATGTCTGCAGTCTCTGGTCATCTCCTGTACTGTGTCCGCAGTCTCTGGTCATCTCCTGTACTGTGTCCGCAGTCTCTGGTCATCTCCTGTACTGTGTCCGCAGTCTCTGGTCATCTCCTGTACTGTGTCTGCAGTCTCTGGTCATCTCCTGTGCTGTGTCCGCAGTCTCTGGTCATCTCCTGTACTGTGTCTGCAGTCTCTGGTCATCTCCTGTACTATGTCCGCAGTCTCTGGTCATCTCCTGTACTATGTCCGCAGTCTCTGGTCATCTCCTGTACTGTGTCCGCAGTCTCTGGTCATCCCCTGTACCGTGTCTGCAGTCTCTGGTCATCTCCTGTACTATGTCTGCAGTCTCTGGTCATCTCCTGTACTGTGTCCGCAGTCTCCGGTCATCTCCTGTACTGTGTCTGCAGTCTCTGGTCATCTCCTGTACTGTGTCTGCAGTCTCTGGTCATCTCCTGTGCTGTGTCTGCAGTCTCTGGTCATCTCCTGTGCTGTGTCCGCAGTCTCTGGTCATCTCCTGTACTATGTCCGCAGTCTCCGGTCATCTCCTGTACTGTGTCCGCAGTCTCTGGTCATCTCCTGTACTATGTCCGCAGTCTCTGGTCATCCCCTGTACTGTGTCCGCAGTCTCTGGTCATCCCCTGTACTATGTCCGCAGTCTCTGGTCATCTCCTGTACTGTGTCTGCAGTCTCTGGTCATCTCCTGTACTGTGTCTGCAGTCTCTGGTCATCTCCTGTACTGTGTCTGCAGTCTCTGGTCATCCCCTGTACTATGTCCGCAGTCTCCGGTCATCTCCTGTACCGTGTCCGCAGTCTCTGGTCATCTCCTGTACCGTGTCCGCAGTCTCTGGCCATCTCCTGTACTGTGTCCGCAGTCTCTGGCCATCTCCTGTACTATGTCTGCAGTCTCTGGTCATCTCCTGTACTATGTCCGCAGTCTCTGGTCATCTCCTGTACTGTGTCCGCAGTCTCTGGTCATCTCCTGTACTGTGTCTGCAGTCTCTGGTCATCTCCTGTACTATGTCTGCAGTCTCTGGTCATCTCCTGTACTATGTCTGCAGTCTCTGGTCATCTCCTGTACTGTGTCTGCAGTCTCTGGTCATCTCCTGTGCTGTGTCCGCAGTCTCCGGTCATCTCCTGTACTGTGTCCGCAGTCTCTGGTCATCTCCTGTGCTGTGTCCGCAGTCTCTGGTCATCTCCTGTACTGTGTCCGCAGTCTCTGGTCATCTCCTGTACTGTGTCCGCAGTCTCTGGTCATCTCCTGTACTGTGTCCGCAGTCTCTGGTCATCTCCTGTGCTGTGTCCGCAGTCTCTGGTCATCTCCTGTACTGTGTCTGCAGTCTCCGGTCATCTCCTGTACTGTGTCCGCAGTCTCTGCTCATCTCCTGTACTGTGTCTGCAGTCTCTCCGGTCATCTCCTGTACCGTGTCCGCAGTCTCTGGTCATCTCCTGTACTGTGTCTGCAGTCTCTGGTCATCCCCTGTACTGTGTCTGCAGTCTCTGGTCATCTCCTGTACTGTATGTCCGCAGTCTCTGGTCATCCCCTGTACCGTGTCCGCAGTCTCTGGTCATCTCCTGTACTATGTCTGCAGTCTCTGGTCATCTCCTGTACTATGTCCGCAGTCTCTGGTCATCTCCTGTACTGTGTCCGCAGTCTCCGGTCATCTCCTGTACTGTGTCCGCAGTCTCTGGTCATCTCCTGTACTATGTCCGCAGTCTCTGGTCATCTCCTGTACTGTGTCCGCAGTCTCCGGTCATCTCCTGTACTGTGTCCGCAGTCTCTGGTCATCTCCTGTACTATGTCTGCAGTCTCTGGTCATCTCCTGTACTATGTCCGCAGTCTCCGGTCATCTCCTGTACTGTGTCCGCAGTCTCTGGTCATCTCCTGTACTGTGTCCGCAGTCTCTGGTCATCTCCTGTACTGTGTCCGCAGTCTCTGGTCATCTCCTGTGCTGTGTCTGCAGTCTCTGGTCATCTCCTGTACTATGTTGAATATTTGTACTGTGTGTTGGATTCCGGGACGATTGTGATGTCAGGGGGCAGAGAAGGTCGATCTGTACGAAGGATCGGTCTGTTCTCCCATTTATTGGTCAGAGGGTATATTTGGCACAGGAGAGTGTTTCTGGTTGATATTTCTGGATTTCATTGAACATGGAGGCTCTGCGTGTTCGATCTCTGGGATCGATGTGTTGGGGCGCTGTGTGAATGAGTCGTTCACTCTGGATTGTCAGCTGTAGTAGCGCGGTGCTGAATAGCAATAGTCGGCCTTTACCTGAAGGGGGGAAACTTCCTGCAGCTGAAAATATACCGAATGTATAATGATCAGATATGAGCGGTTCCGGGATGACGTCACCCCGCATGCAGGGCAAGGGTTTCAAACTGCCCCCCTTCCCCCCCGGGTTCATGATGTGCGATATTTGGGGGGTCCTACACCCAGCAGTCACTATCCCTGGACCTGGGCGACCCCCAACCCACCCATAGTGTACTATTACCCCCCAGGACTGCCGCCCCTTCTGCCCTCCCCCATAACAGAACATAACCTGGGCCGGCACTACCTCTAGGGGGAATGGGTTCCCTGATCTCGGGGGGGAGGGCTCCATGACATTGGAATGTGATAGAATACAATGTAATGTGATAGAATGTACATTGTAACATTGTAATCTTATAGAATAGAATAGAATAGAATAGGATATAATGTGCGCTGTGATATATTGTAATGTCATAGAATAGAATAGAATGTGATATAATGTACATTGTAACATTGTAATCTTATAGAATAGAATAGGATATAATGTGTGTTGTGATATATTGGAATAGAATAGAATAGAATGTGATATAATGTACATTGTAACATATTGTAATTTCATAGAATAGAATAGAATGTAATGTGATAGAATGTATGTTGTGATATATTGTAATTTCATAGAATAGAATGTAATGTGATATAATGTACATTGTAACATTGTAATCTTATAGAATAGAATGGAATGTGATATAATGTACGTTGTAACATATTGTAATGTGATAGAATAGAATAGAATGTGATATAATGTATGTTGTGATATGTTGTAATGTCATAGAATAGAATAGAATAGAATAGAATGTGATATAATGTACATTGTAACATTAATGTTATAGAATAGAATAGAATGTGATTTAATGTATGTTGTGATATATTGTAATGTTATAGAATAGAATAGAATGTGAGATAATGTACGTTGTAAAATATTGTAATGTCATAGAATAGAATAGAATAGAATGTAATGTGATATAATGTACGTTGTAAAATATTGTAATGTCATAGAATAATAGAATAGAATGTAATGTGATATAATGTACATTGTAACATATTGTAATGTCATAGAATAGAATAGAATGTAATATGATATAATGTATGTTGTAATGTTATAGAATAGAATGTGTGATATAATGTACGTTGTAACATATTGTAATTTCATAGAATAGAATAGAATGTAATGTGATAGAATGTATGTTGTGATATATTGTAATTTCATAGAATAGAATGTAATGTGATATAATGTACATTGTAACATTGTAATCTTATAGAATAGAATAGGATATAATGTGTGTTGTGATATATTAGAATAGAATAGAATGTGATATAATGCACATTGTAACATTGTAATCTTATAGAATAGAATGGAATGTGATATAATGTACGTTGTAACATATTGTAATGTGATAGAATAGAATAGAATGTGATATAATGTATGTTGTGATATGTTGTAATGTTATAGAATAGAATGTGATATAATGTACGTTGTAACATATTGTAATGTCATAGAATAGAATAGAATAGAATGTGATATAATGTACGTTGTAACATATTGTAATGTCATAGAATAGAATAGAATAGAATGTGATATAATGTACGTTGTAACATATTGTAATGTGATATAGAATAGAATGTGATATAATGAATGTAACATATAATAATGTACATTAGTAGAAACATGTATATGTAATGTCATTAATAGAATAGAATAGAATGGGATATAGAATATTGAATGTTATGATATATAGAATGTATAATGTACATTGTAACATTAATGTTATAGAATAGAATAGAATGGGATATAATGTATGTTGTGATATATTGTAATGTTATAGAATAGAATAGAATGGGATATAATGTACGTTGTAAATATATTGTAAAATATGTCATAGAATAGAATAATAGAATAGAATGTGATATAATGTACATTGTAACATATTGTAATGTTATAGAATAGAATGTAATGTGATATAATGTATGTTGTAATGTCATAGAATAGAATGTAATGTGATATAATGTATGTTTGTGATATATTGTAATGTTATAGAATAGAATAGAATAGAATGTAATGTGATATAATGTACATTGTAACATATTGTAATTTCATAGAATAGAATAGAATAGAATAGAATGTGATATAATGTACGTTGTAACATATTGTAATGTGATAGAATAGAATAGAATGGGATATAATGTACATTGTAACATATTGTAATGTCAATCTATAAATGGGAAAGTATGTGATCAGATGATGGAGCCCCCCGATCCCTCCATAAAGAGGACCTGTCACTATTGCTTGTCTCAGTGTTGACCGCCTTGAAATGACCATTTCATGCGTTTCTCCCGGTAGATGGTAATTGTACCCACCAAGATGAGTCGTCTCCGGAGAATTCTTACCATCTTCTGTCTGTTCGTCCTGACGGTGAAGGTGGAGGTAGGTGTCATGGGATGACTCTAGTACTTGGGGGGATTGTCCTCTCCTCGTCTCTCGGCACTCCTACAAAAGTGGTGTGTAGTTGGCTTTGGCCGGATCTCAGATCAACCCACTGACCCCCAACCTTCATCTGTTCCCTCATTGTACACCCTATTCTGGATCCTACGTATCAGTGCAAACCTTTACCCATAATTCCCAACACTCGTCCTACATGACCCCTGAACCCTCAACTGAACCTCAACCTTCATTCTACACCACAGTTCAACTGAAATCCCAGAAAATAAACCCAAATCATTCATCTTCTCAACCTTAATTTGTTTTATTTCTAAATATAATGCAACATATCCAAACCTGAACTTTCAAACCAAACCCAAACCACCCACCAACCAAACCCAAACCAAAACCCAAACCAAACACAAACCCAAAACCAAAAAAACCAAACCCAACCAACCCCAACCAAAAAACACCCCCCAACCACAAAAAAACCCCCCAAACCCAAACCCAAAAACCAACCCAAAACCAACCAAAAACCCAACCCAAAAGCAAAAAAACCAAACCAAAACCCAACCCAAAATCAACCAAACCCAAACCAAAACTACCCCCCCAACCCCCCCACCAAAAACCCCCCCCCCCCCAACCACCAACCCCCCAAACACCCAACCACCCCCCCCCCCAAACCCAAAACCCAAACCCCCAAAACCCCCCCCCCCCCCCCCCCAAACCAAACCCCACACCAAAAACACAAAAAACCAACCAAACCCCCCCTACCCAACCCCACCCCAAACCCCAAACCCCCAAACCCCCCAACCCAAAACCAAAACCCCCTAACCCAAAAACCCCCCCCCCCTACACCCCAAAACCCCAAACCCCCAAATCCCCCCCACCACCCCCAAACACCCTGCCTACAAACACACCTACCCCCCCCCCCACCTACCCCCCCCAAAAACCCCCCCCCCCCCCCAACCAGGACCAACCCCCCCCCCCCCAAAAAAACCCCCCCACCCCACCCCCCCCCCCCAAACCCCCACACACACCCCCAAAACCCCCACAACCCCCCACCCCACCCCCTTCCCCCTACCCCCACCCTACCCCCCCCCCCCCAAACACAACCCAACCTACCAAACCACCCAAAACCCCCCCCCCCCCCAAAAAAACCCCACCCCCCCACACCCCCCCCCAACCCCTACCACCCCCCCAACCCCCCCCCAAAAAACAAACCCCCACCCCCCCCCCCCACACAAAAACCCCCCCCACCCCCCCTACCCCCCCCCCCCCCCCCCCCCAAACCCCACCCCCACCCCCCCCCCCCCAACAAACACCACCCCCACCAAAACCCCAACAAAACCC